TGAGGAAGCACCTCACTATGGACCAGTAGGCCCTCTGCAGGTCACTTGTCTCTTATGGCTGAGGGGGAAGTATGTTGGATATTTCGTCTTGGTCTCGAGGATGGCAGAGTGTGATCGGGTGTTAACTGGCTGTTGATAGTTAAGTGTGCTCTCGTGAGCGTTCCCAACGTCAAGAAACTGTCGTACTAAAGTACCTTATTCTAAAAAATAAGAAAAGTAGTCTTAACTTTACTTATTAATACTAGTCAATACCTCGGTCGATAGAGCTTCGGCCTCACATACCAGCTTCGGTCCGCGGTTTGAGTCTCCTAGAATGAATGGTGAATGAAATGCCTTATCCTAACCTATCAGAGGACCCACGAACAGAAAACGGGACAGGATGTCAATTTCGCAAGCAGCTACCATTTTCTAGTACGACATTATTTGGCTTTAGATAGAGCATACGTCAAAATGCGACGTTCTATTAGTAGGACGGGATGTTATATGTACACTTGTAGCACCGAACGATTAAGTCTTAAAACTGAAGCAAACTGTAAACTCATTTTCACTTAAGTTTACCTGTCTATAAGTTGGTATTAAATGGTCCTTTGAGAAAGTTGGAGGACGGACCTGAGCTGTGTCTGGCCTCACAATGCACATCTTGCTTCTGTCTTAGCTTTTTACCGGTTGCAAATCTCTTCAAACTTCCTAGCGTTGGATCCTATACGGTTGCAAATCTCATAACAATTTCCTTGCGTTGGATCTTATACGTTTGCAAAGCTCTTGAATTATTCTTGAGAGGATCCGTAATGAATTATTGGAAACTTTTGCGTGTATTTATGTTCCCACTCTAATTATGACCACCAAACAGTCTTTGTTCAAAACATAAGCGAGGGTACAGTTATTCTCTTTTTTTTGGTAGTTACGAATGAAAAATAATAAGAATTTTACAGAAGGTATAATTGAGACAGGAAATGGTAAATAATTATTACGAAGAAGATAATTATCACGAGACAGGTAAGATATTTATCATGAGAAAGGTAATGTAATTATTGTGATTGGGCGTCAGTATGACTAGAACAATATGAAGAAAATATATCAGTGAACAATAGTAATTATTATTCATTGATTATTATTAGAATTATTATTAGTAAAATTCATAATAAAATAACAGTTTCAGTATCTAAAAAACTAAATAAGTATTAAAATTTGAAATAATTATTAAAAATTTAAATTATTAAAAAAAATTAAATAACTATTGGTAATAATGATAATAATTATCTACATATCCACATTATACGTTATATGGAGGCCTCGATCTTATATGGAGGTTATATGGTATCGTATCTGAAGGTTATATGGTATCGTATCTGAAACCACGTGACACTGTAGAATACTAGTGAAAACGTCACCAGGTTTCGAATCGTTGGAATAGTTTTGGTTTCATATTGTCCAATTCCGCCCTAGGCCAATGACCAGTTTTCTGTTGGATGCAACCCATAACAGTCACCTAACTCCAGGGAACAGAGGTGAACAGGTGAACAGAGACATGAGGTAAAAGGAAAGACTCCCAACCGTACCTGTTCTAAAGGATTAACTCCGTGTTTAAACACTTCAAATAGACATTAATTTACATCCCACCTACGCTATTTGCCTGTCTCATTCTCACTTTTTTACTCTCGGTCTTGCAGCATTACAAGGACACTGACTGCTCGGAACTCTGTCACTGCATCTTGACCGACGAGGACAGGGAACCTCAGGCTAAATGCACTACCTTGACGTGCATGGACACCAAGGCGTGCAACACCTCCCGCGCTCTCTACCCACACACCGCGCCCTACTACCTGGCCTACAGGGGCTTGTGCGTCTGCTACAATGGTGCTTTCATATGCCAGAGGCCCAATCCAGGTGAGGTAGGACGTGTAGATGGTGTGTGTGTGTGTGTGTGTGTGTGTGTGTGTGTGTGTGTGTGTGTGTGTGTGTGTGTGTGTGTGTGTGTGTGTGTGTGTGTGTGTGTGTGTGTGCGCTTGTGTGTGTGGGTGTGTGTGTGCGTGTGTGTGTGGGTGTGTGTGTGTAGTGTGTGTTTTTGTGTGTGTGTGTGTGTACTCACCTAGATGTGCTTGCAGGGTCGAGCTAAGCTCCCTGCCCTCCGAATGTTCTTGGATTAATGCAGTGACTCATTTTTCACGCGTTTCTCATATTTATATTTAACATTTCGAATCGATTAAAATATTGAGAATTCATTAATTATTATTTTTTAACAACTTCTGTATCTAACTTATTACGTTTATTGCCAGCTCTAACACAGAAAATGATCTTTCTGATGTTTCTTTATCTCATTTGCGCCTCGAGTTCTCCATCTATGACCCCATCGTTCTGCTGTTCCTAGCCTTGAACAACGCTGCTTTTTCTACCTTGTCAATGTTCCTTAGAATCGTATATGTTGTTATCATGTTCCCCCTATCTCTCCTTTCCTCCAGTATTGAAAGGTGCAGTTTTCCAAGTCTTTCCTCATAGCTCAATTCCCTCAGCTACTGAACGAGTCTCATTACATATCTTTGGATATTTTCTAGTTTCTTCTTGTTCTTTTTCAGGTAAGGGTTCTATGCTGGGGATGCATATTCAACAGTGGGTCTCACCTTTGATGTATATAGAGCTCGGAAAGCCCCTTTATCCAAGTTTCTGAAAGATACACGGACGTTGCCAAGTATGCCATATGCATCTGTTGTTATTCTGCTTATCTGGACTTCTGGCTTTGAGGTTATGTCCACTCCCAGGTATTTCTCCTTTTCTGATTGAAGAATTTATCTTCCCTTCATCCTGGATGGCTGTACTGGTCTTCATACTCCTGTACTGACCCGCATAACTTTGCATTTGTCTGGGTTAAATTATAGCAGCCATTTTTCAGACCACTTCTGAAGTGTATCCGAATCCGCGTCCAGTGCATCACAATCTAACCCCTGACCTTACTCTTCTCATTAGTTTTGTATCATCTGCAAATACTGATATGAAGAAACCAATTTCCACAGTCAGGTCAAAAATATATTAGAAACAGGATGGATTTTAGAAGCGACCCTTGTGGTACTTCACTCGTAACTTCTCTCCACTCTGATGTCTCTGTTCTCACTGTAACCCTTTCCTTCCATCCTGAACGATTATCTCTGACCCACCTTAGGAATCTTCTAGATACGCCAGCCTGCTTTTCCAGTTTGAGTAGTTTTTCATGCGGGACCGTATCAAATGCCTTCTGACAGTCAAGGAATATACAGTGTATGTGTGTGCTCGCGAGTGTGTGTTGGATAAACTGAATGTAAATTCCTGCATATCAGTGAACTAGGTTACATGTGCATATGTACATGTATAAAATATTTTTATTTACAAATGTATATGCATTTTTGTAGCTACAGTCTAGAATGTGTTAATGTCTCTGTTTCATGATAAAATAAGCAAAGCCTCAATTGCGCTCAACAATTACTCGACAAAATATTTTATTTGTCAATATTCGTTTTGCAGTTTATTGCACCATTTTCTTCTCGTCATGCAAAAAATTGAGAAGCAAGATATAAAGTTTTATTGCGTTGTTAATTGTTTCATATTCTTTTCTCGACGGCTCTTTACGTTTAACATTAATATTTTAGCTTTTTATATATTCCTACGAAGTTTCCTTTGGCATTCAAAACACTTTACAGCATTAGGTTCCTTCATTCAAGTACCCCTCTCACCCACACACACTTCTCCATACTGACACCCTTCTCACCGATACGTTCCTCCTAACAGACACCCTTCTCACCAACTCTCCATTACTCCCTCTAAGACTTGCATCTCCGTCTCTCCTCTTTCATCAGGCTCTTTTTCTCCTTGTCATGCAAAAACTTGAGAAACATTTTTCTCCTCTTCAACTCCTCTTTAACATGGCATCTCACTCTCATCGTGTGAATGATTTAATTATGATTTATTTTCTATGCATTCCACTCGCTACAGAAGAGTATGACCTGGGACCCGGAATCTACCTATTCCTGGGTTACAGCCGGGGGGAAGTGAAGATCCTGCAGCCCCACACTTCAGTCAATGAACATGAAGCTGTCAAGATCCTTGAGACAATTCTCATTAAAGATTACGGATTCAAGGTAAGAGCAAGAGAGTGAACGCGAGACAAAGAGACATAGTGAAAGAAGCAGAGAGAGAGAGAGAGAGAGAGAGAGAGAGAGAGAGAGAGAGAGAGAGAGAGAGAGAGAGAGAGAGAGAGAGAGAGAGAGAGAGAGAGAGAGAGAGAGAGAGAGAGAACTATATTTCTGCTATAATTATCCAGATTTTTCGAGTTAACTAGTTGTAGGTTCCCCACAATTTATGCCATATCATACCCTATAATGCATGGCAAATAATTGCAATTGTGCAATCAATAATTTAATTCTAGCAAAACATACAAGAACATGCACATATATATTCGTATTTGAGTGAGTGTTCGTCAAACAACCATGCAACGTCAAATACTTTTTTTTAATAATCTTGTTTATACAAACCTTTCACAATTATTAACTTTGAACCCTCCCATAAAACTTGATTCAGCTCATCCAAAATACAGCAGACATCATTTAACTCTAAGTAACATTAGGGGATGTTGTTGACGAAATGTGATAATTTTCCCAAATTACAACCAACTAAATTGTAATTAGAGTTTATATGTGTTTGAGCAGTGCACGTTGGAGACCAAACATCACATGGGGGAGAACTTCATCATCTTGGCTGAGCTCAGCATCAACCCAGAGACCTACATTAGCCCCTTCATCAAGCAGCGGAGAGAGAAGGTAACCCAACTTATTATTACCTTACATCAACGACACTTGTTAATACCATCCCATAGTTATAATCACTACCAGCAAAAATCATAAATTAACTTTAAACATCGAGCGAAACAAAAGTCAAATCTAACTGATCCTAAGCATGACATAACCTATCCTAGACCAAACCTTACATATAGTTACATCCTAGGTCATATACAAAACATTTATGTGTTATTTTAGGGCTAGGTTAAGCTTGGCATGTTAGGTTATGCTTTGCTTTTATGCAACAGCTTTTGTTTTAAGTCATGTTGTCATTTCCCTACAACCATATTGCTGAATGTTATATATACAAGCAGCCATATTTTGGGTACATTCCATATTACTGCTATATGTACCGTATCATTGGGAAATAAGTTGGATAATCGACTCTTATACAAATTCTTTTGTCCAGTAGGAGACGTACAGCTAGTTAACAAACTCTCTACTGCTTTAACGTGAACAATGTTTTGTAAGCATTTTATCATATAGCTACAAATAGAGGGACCACATCCCACTTCTATTGAAACAAAATAACGCTCATTAAACAGTTATTGCTAGAATAGACTCGAAACCCTGAGACTTTAGTTTGATAAGTTTGGAAATATGACTGTGATATCAACCACCACTCTTGTTATCCCCCAATATACTGTTACATATCCTTATGATAATTACATCTCCATACATACATCAAGACCTCTCTGCTGTATCTTTCCACTTGTCCTAATTTTGTATATAATCGCCTACAGTCATATTCCTGTAGCATTAACCTGAGGAAAACGTCGACCAAATAAGATATTGATTTAGAAATCCTTTAATAGTTATTTGTACAAGCAAAACAATTATTATGAAGGAATCCCAAAGAGTATACAGAAAATTATACACATTCTAAACATGCCCTGGTATTCAATTAAAAATAGGTTATTTCCGCATGTGATATCACGTCATACATAAACTAAGTGTAGGAATGCAAAGAACTTTTGATAAGAAATGATGCACTGATAAACAGAGATATGCCAAGATTATATTGGTTTACAGAAGATTCTTATCGTCTCAGTAACAGTTACCAGGCCATACAAATTACTTAAACACCGTGCCCACCACCACACAGTGGGCACAATATCTAAGAACGGTGATACTTAGACGTTGAATTAACGTAATTAACGTTAATTTAATATTGAATTAACAGGGGATGTATGATGATTGGTTTTGAATATGATAGCCGGTATAAGTGATCCAAGTCCCAATTTAATAAATAAATATATGTATAAATATGTGTGTGTTCTATGTTCATAAAGTACAGTTGTGTGTTATTTCTCCATTTACTCTCTTACTCTGGCTTGTTTTTGTCGAGGTAAGTCCAACATATGTGTGTATGCCTAACTAGATTTCTATAGCACGCCTATGCAGTTGATATTGTAATTTTCAGGAAATAATTTTGCACACATCTTATTCAAGGATGTAGCCAAGTATATTAGTTCGTTGTAAGTCATAAATGCAATGAAACTTTGTCTGGCTTATATCAGATAAACATTTTTCTTATAACATTTTTAATCTTATTCTTCTCCGATATTTGTTTGTCGGTAAAAACCTAGCATATTTTACTTATAGCAAACCTCAATTCCTAACTAGTGAATCTTGCCGCAAGGTTTGACAAGCTTTATCGTTTAGGACGAAATTTTGAATTTCTAGACTGCTTTAATAAATTTTTTTACTTGGTTATTGATATTTTTCTCCGTGTATAACTGCTGTTAGTCACCCTCCTCGATTTACGAGACAACCATATACGTAGCGTTTTAAGCAGTTCTTTGTTAATTAGAATCCGTATACTCTTACCTAATTTAAAATAAAATGTTTTGTATGGTCATAGTCTATTATACAATAGTCTACTATTCCATTCTAGGGGAATGTTAACGTTTGTAGATGTATCTAGATCTGAGGTAAAATTAGGTATTTATCCTACCTGTCCTCTTACAAAGGACGTCGCGTTTCGATCGTATGTGTTACACAAATTGAAAAATTGTCGTACTAGCAAATGGAACTGGCTCGCGCAAGTGACGTATTGTCCCATTTTCTGTTTTGGATCCTCTGGTAGGTTAGGAGGGGATACTTTAATTTGACAGTTTTCTTGACGTTGGGAAACCTTAGGAAGACGGGCTGATTTATCAATGCTTGATAACATATACATATTTGTATTGCTCCAACTTAACAAACATTTATTTGCATATATTTAAATAAGTCAGATTTTTTTATTTATACATCAGACAACTAACTGAAAGGATGAATCTTTCATTCAGAAAACAAATTTTTTGCAAATCTAAATTAATATTATAATGTGGGCTTGTGAATTATCAGAACTAGGCAAGGTTAGATAAGGTGTTTGGTTACAGTGATTTATGAAAAATTTCAACCCATCCTCCAGATCAAGCTGTAAGTAAAATACTAACTTAAGTTTTACTAATTTGGTGCACTTTTATTCAGTAGTCAAGCTTCTGACAGAAGGAAGCTTCCACGCTGTATAATAAAAAAAAATCTGAAATGTTAACACATGTTGTTGGTTTATGTATTATTAGGTCTAGGTTAGATTATGTAAGGTGTTCTGATGACGTTGATTCAGGGTGCGTTTACACTACAGGATGATAGTGATGAAACGAAGCACGTTTCAAGTCATTGCCTCGAACATGGCTAGGTGGACTATATGTCCAAATACTGACTTGTGTCAGTATTAACACAAATGAAGTCATTATTTGACCTATTCGTTACGATCCTCACAACCTTTTGTTTTGGAGAACAGAAGAAGATGTATATATGCAGGTTAGCATTGGAAATGTGTGGCCTCGTCTGCGGTAGAAAATAATAATAAAAATAAACTTTGTTTTAATGACGGGCTGGAAAATTTGCAGTCCAAGCTGAAAGTGAACGGACAGTATGTACATTTTCGTTACATTTCGTGAAGATATTACACAATTTATAGTTTCGTGAACAATGTGGAGATATCTGCACATATTAGCGTTTGTTTACTACTATACACGCTAGTGCTCAGGGAGTGTTGTGTCCACTGTCTGGTGCTCAGGGAGTGTTGTGTCCACAGGGTGGTGCTCAGGGAGTGTTGTGTCTACTGGCTGGTGATCAGGGAGTGTTGTGTCCACTGTCTGGTGCTCAGGGAGTGTTGTGTCCACTGGCTGGTGCTCAGGGAGTGTTGTGTCCACAGGGTGGTGCTCAGGGAGTGTTGTGTCTACTGGCTGGTGCTCAGGGAGTGTTGTGTCCACTGGCTGGTGCTCAGGGAGTGTTGTGTCCACTGGCTGGTGCTTTGTGAGTGATTCCTTTACGGGATGTGTCCAAAGGCGTGTCGCTAACACAAGGTTGAACTCAGGGTAAATCTGACGACAATATCAATCATTATTTCCCAGCTGCCATTATATCGTCATTCAACGTGGAGACCGAACGCCATTTTATTATAACCGGTGTCCATAGTAAAGCACTGAATTCAGATTTATTATGATGTAATTGCTTTCACATTTTTTATATTATGTAATTAGTTTAATCATGCCATATAGACGGCTCACGGTCGGAATACATAATGATGTATTGAAAAGTAATATTGTTTGTTGATCTGACGTTTCACATCATAGTTTAATATTGAACTATTTAATAACAGCGTTGTTATCGATGAGTCTAGTTGTAAAGTGGATTCCCGAATGAATCTATGTAATTTTGGTTGTCATTGGCATATAATATATATATATATATATATATATATATATATATATATATATATATATATATATATATATATATATATATATCCCTACACTTGCACCAGAGGTGGTACCCCTTCTAGGTTTATATATATATATATATATATATATATATATATATATATATATATATATATATATATATATATATATATATCTGCCCATTCATGGCGGGAGGTCAAATGCATGGGGCTACCCTTCTTGAGGTTATCTTGAGATGATTTCGGGGCTTAGCGTCCCCGCGGTCCGGTCCTCGATCAGGCCTCCTTTTTGTTACACACACCCAGGAAGCAGCCCGTAGCAGCTGTCTAACGCCCAGGTACCTATTTACTGCTAGGTAACAGGGGCATCAGGGTGAAACAAACATTTTGCCCATTTGTCTCCGCATCCACCGGGGATCGAACCGGAAACCTCAGGACTACGAATCCGAAGCGCTGCCCACCCAGCGCCCTCACCCAACATTTTACCCTGATTCCTGTACGTGTGCAACATTTTTGGGTCGGTGTTGTCATTATTTAAGAGAGAACAGAGTGTCACGGTCACACACTTACCCCAAGGCTATTTCCGCAGCGTCTTTTGGCGACTATCTGTCTATATACTTTGAAAATATAAATGTCAAGACAATTATTTTCCGCACAGTTTTGTAAAATATCATGCACTTATCTCTGGAACGTTAACAGAAGTTTTCTACTGTTTTGATACTACTGATAATGTTTACAAAAGTGTAACAAAATATTATTGTACTGAATTTTTTTCTTCAAAGTATTTGTCTGGACGGTTGTCGTAGTCAGTATGTGACCGGCATGTTCTTTTCTCTGGGAATTATGGCGACCTTGCCCAAACCGTGTTGGGTATTTACCCCATAGCAATGAGGGTGCAAGAGTTGGGTGAGGCTAGCTCCAAGTATCTGGCCTCTAATTATGATCATATAAGCCTTCTCATTAAAAGATAATGTTACATATTATCTTATGTAACATGCATTAGATTTGTATATATATATAACTTTAGACACCCACACCCACCAGGGAACTCGAACACTGGCCATCAAGGTGGCAGGTACGCACTTGTATCCACTACACCATACTTCAGAGCCCTTAAAGAGGTGGGAATTCCAGGGTATTTAACCAACCAGAACTCCAAGCCTCTCCAGGCAATGAGATAGTGAGGGATCTCTCGCGTTTTTCATCAAGCCCTATTATATGGGAGAACTCGGTGCCCATGCCTAATGCACAGACTTGCTTATAAACCACAAGTTAGAAGTATAGAATTTTAGACACCCACACCCACCACGTGGTTTATAAGCAAGTCTGTGCATTGTGTGTGTATATATATATATATATATATATATATATATATATATATATATATATATATATATATATATATATATATATATATATATATATAATTATGCATTTTATCTATGTACATATATGTTTGTTTGGCCTCCCTCAGGAGGAGTGTGCTGGACCCCTGCGGGACCTGGCTGAAAAGATCAACGCTCGACCCCGCCATCCCGACATCATTACAGACTCCATCCTCTCCATGTTCATCCTGGCTGCTGTAGACGTCAACATACCTGAGGCCCAGACGTCCCCCGCCGCGGCACCTGCTTCAGTCCATCTCGATCTCCTGGCACTGTTGGCCGGGCTTTCTGCTCACCTCCTGCTCACCCACTGGGCTCTACTGAGCTCGGTTAAGGCTACCGGTCCTATGCTGGTCTCTACTACGGCTACCGGGGCTCTACTGGCCTCTACTAGGACCACCTGACGCCTTCATTAAGCCGCCAAAATAAAGGAGGCCTTTGACTCCTATCAATTGAGGCCCCGAAGCTTCGACCAGAGAGTTCGTTGAGGAACTTTGAGACGCACAAAAGTGTACACTGGTTATGAACCTAAAGGGAAGAAATAACAAACTTTCTCTCTTGATAAATGCAGTTGTGTCTTGTAGTCAGGCAGTCTTTTAAGAGAAATAAAAACAAAGAAGCATAGTATTTTTGATAAGTTCTTTTAGAGGACATATTAGTCTGTAATAAGATGTGAAAGTGTATAATAATGATATCCCCCCCTCTCCCCCTGTTCATTTTGCCAAACGCTCTATTTTTACATCACTTTATCAGATCCACAAGTGCTTTTTGATCCCAGAGTGGTGATGCGGACAATCCCCTCAGCGAAGGGTTGAGTGCCAAACAAATAACACACTAAATAAGAAACTCAGTGATACAAGTACATTGTACTATGAGAACACAACAAGGATACATCAAGCCCACCTAATGCTGCATGATGAAAAGCAACAACAATGACCAAAAACACAAGAATCCTGGAGAGAAATGAAGGCAAATATGTTCATCAGAAGACAAAATAAAGGATGTTGTAACATATGAAGACCTACTCCCTCAACCATGTGGATTGTAGCACTCTCAAGGTTCACTGTCCTGGCATCCCATGACGTCCCAGGGGACGTACCCCGTCGTCCTTTGGCGCCCCGTGGCGTTACAAGGCGTCCTGTGGCATCTCTTGACATCTTTTGTCGCCCCATAGGGTCTTACGGGGTTGCCAGGCGTCTTATCGCCTCGAGGCGCTCGTTTGGCGTTCCGTTGTATTTCGTAGTGTTCCAAGGCATTCCATGGCGTCTCGTTGTGTTTTGTGACGCCCTGAGGCGTTCCTTGGTGTCCTGTGGTGCTGCATGGCGTTGCGAGGCGTTTTTTGGCGTCCCGTGGTGTTTTGTGAGGTCCCGAGGTATCTTGAGACGTCCCAAGAACCTCTTCAACTAGCAGTTCTCTCCGTGAACATATATATACATATATATATAATGTATATATATATTCATATAATGTATTTTCTCTCTCTCTCTTCTCAGTTATTATCGGTAAGACTTTTTATGAGAAGCAAAAGACAAAGGAAAGGTCGTCAGCTGATGACTTACCTCCTCTATAATGATTCTCTTTAGCGATGCCTTCAAATATTTCCTTTTGTATTGATATATCTTGACAAGTCATTTTTTCTTGGTCTTGTACATAAATGACTCTAGTATCATGGACCGTGCGTCCCACTGGAAAAAAAACAAAACATTTCTACCTTTCCCTCCCCCAACTGCTTTTAATTGGCTTTCAAAGGAGGTACGATGCACTTGTGCATGTTGTTGTTGTCCGTCTCTTAGCTAGCCAGGCTCCCAAATGACTTACAGAAGGAATACTGCCCAGATGCCAACCCTTCTCTCCTATCACTTATGCAAGCCATTTATATATATATATATAATATATATATATATATACATATATATTTATCCTCTTTACCTATGGGTTTTAATTAATGGTTGCCAGTCAATTGGTTGCTCCCTGAAAGGTCTATGATTATTCTATTCAAAGGCCTGCATTATGTAAGGATTATCAACATCACTGGATTTATTTAAACTCTTATATAAAAACCCAGCCACTGGACTGGCGTAACTTGTTTTCCATTACAGTAACACATTAATATCACACACACACATCATTATATATATATATATATATATATATATATATATATATATATATATATATATATATATATATATATATATATATATATATATGTATGTATATGTCGTACCTAGTAGCCAGAACTCACTTTTTGGCCTACTATGCAAGGCCCGATTTGCCTAATAAGCCAAGTTTTCATGAATTAGTATATTTTTTCTAATTTTTTTCTTATGAAATGATAAAGCTACCCATTTCATTATGTATGAGGTCAATTTTTTTTTATTGGAGTTAAAATTAACGTAGATATATGACCGAACCTAACCAACCCTACCTAACCTAACCTAACCTATATTTATAGGTAAGGTTAGGTTAGGTAGCCAAAAAAAGCTAGGTTAGGTTAGGTTAGGTAGGTTAGGTAGACGAAAAAACATTAATTCATGAAAACTTGGCTTATTAGGCAAAACGGGCCTTGAATAGTAGGCTGAGAAGTGCGTTCTGGCTATTAGGTACGACATATATATATATATATATATATATATATATATATATATATATATATATATATATATATATATATATATATATATATATATATATATATATATATATATATATAATATATAATGTGTGTGTGCGTGTTTTGTGTAAGTTCTCTTAGTTCATTATAATCACTGTCCCCACCAGTATCAATCCTCTTAGTTCATCATCATCTATATTATTTTCATGTATCATCATTGTATCAATAATTTACTGAAAGAAGGCCTATCATATGCTTCCAAACCAACCGTATCCCACCTTGAGTCTTTCTTTTTCTACCAAACACTGAAAATGTTTGACGTTACGTAATTCAATATTCTGGCAGTTGAACATAGTTTTTGGCCCCATAAACTACGCTAAAAGTATCAATTTATCTTTTAAAATGAATCATAGACACATTTAATTTTTTGCACTGGGAGCCTTTTTTCAGTATGAAAAGTATAATTTATAATTTTTCAACAATTAGAATATGGTAGTATATTAGAATATAAGAAAATATAAGAAAGCTGGTTGCATCTTATATATATATATATATATATATATATATATATATATATATATATATATATATATATATATATATATATATATATATATATATATATATATATATATATATATATATATATATATATATATATATATATATATATATATAAAAGTTTTCAACCAAAGCTATCTTTTCTTAAATAACAGAAGTTCATGAAACACTAAAACATATATGAGACGATTATATTACTGTTTCACTTTACTGAAGCTTGCATTAGGTAATGTAATTGTTACTTGTTCCATCTTCAATAAATGATTAAATGCGATAACCGAAACGCAAGTCAAATAGAAATCATTCATTTGTCATTCAATCCAGAGTCATTGAGAGCGAAATAACGCTTGCAGACCTTATTTATCTTTGTTATAGAAATAAATAATGGTTGCTGAAACTGTTTAAAAAGTTCCTTTCATAATAGTTATAAAGTTTTAGAGGAGAAGATAGAGATAAATTGGGAGTGTAAGGGTGAGATAGTGAGTGGGTTGGAGAGGGAGTGAGCGAGATAGAGAGACAGAGATAGAGATATAATGAGTGTGTGTATAACGAACACTCTCAAATACAGATATACTGTACCATACGAAATATGCACATGGTTTCTCACGCGACTGCACCCCCATCAACATCAGCAAGAAGCCCCAAACTTCAAACTCATCAACTTACTTCAAACTCATCAACACACTTTAAACTCAGCAGCAAACTTCAAACTTACAACACACTTGGAACCTTTCGGCAAACTTCCAACTCTTCAATACACTTCAAACTCATCAACACTCTCATTACCGCTTCCGATGATGTCACGTATTCTTCCTCGCCTTGATCCATGCATATTATATATGCTTTTAAGGGATGTATACACTGTACTGGCATGATTTTACTCACTGCATATAACGGGTATCCGATTTATACATGTACAGGTCGGTGTCATTGACAGTGATTGAATTCATTTTACGTTTGATAGTTTTCCTAATTTTAAAATGTATCATAAAATGAACACCCCATTCTATGAATATCCATATGAAATGAACACCGTTCTCGAGTTATTAACCCACAATTTATGTCCTGAAACCCTACTCGTGGACTAACCACACCATAGTTTGAACCCCTCCGTTATCAGAGCCTTTCCCATGATCTGAAACCCTCCCATGATTTGAATCCCTTCCATAATCTTAGCCCCTCCTATGATTTAAAAATTATCTCATATCCCAACCCCTTATAATTTTCTGAACCTCTTGTATATCCTAAAATTCTTTCGTGTCCTGAACATCACTCGAGTGTTGAACCCCGTTCCATAGAACCTCACTTAGCAGCACGCTTGACTCCTTACACAGCCTTAGAGAACGATCTTGAAGAAATTCTCTCCCTCCAGAGGGTCATCAGTACAGTTTTACACAAAGCGCTTCCAACCATCAGTCAGTAGCGGAAATTGGAAATAATGGACGATACGTTGATGTTGCTGCTGGCGAGGAGGGAGGAGGGTGGGGTCGTGCTGGTGGGTGAAGAAGGATAGGGGAGGGTGCTGGAAAGGAGAGAGGTAGGGTTGTGCTAGTGTTGAGAAAGGTAAGGAGTGAGGTTGAGCTGGTATGGAGGGGGAAAGGGGGGTTGAACTGGTGGGAAAGGGGAGGAAGAGGTAGGGTTGAGCTGTTTGGGAAGGAAGGGAAGTGGTGGGCTGAGTTGGTAAGGGTTCATGGACAGTAAAACTGTTTTGGTAAAGGGACGAAATCAGGAAGGGATTTGTTGACGCAATACAAAATAAACGTAGAACAGCAGCTAACTAAAACAGATTACGCCTCTGATAAGGAAAAAGGGTGGGTAGAGAACTAAGAGAATCACACCAGGAATAAATGTTAAATGAGAAGTCTTACCCACTAAAAAAAAAGAAATTGCATTTTTTTTCCTTCACTCTCAATATCTTTCCCAACACAACCTCCTGGATTTTGCCCACACTGTCTGAAGCACCATTTCATATTCCTTGTCGAACCGTTTCTAAACCCTTTCATACGTTTCGATACGCTCTTTTCTGAACGAAAATTCGCATCACTTGTATATTTGTTTGTGGATTTTAGTCCATCATATTATTCTCACTTTTGCCTATGTGGGTTAATTCAAACACATAATAGAAGCCACAAATTTTATTGTAGAATATAATTATTTTGTAGATACAGTCAATTTAATGATAATCTAGTCGTTTCGATGGAGATGTTGACTACTTTAAATAAGAAACTAGTGTACGACGTTAGGGCGAAATTAGTTGCAATTGGAAACTTTAAATTAAATTCATTGCAGATGATTGTATTGAAAATAAATATACAAATGCCCTTGATATATATTTCTCTCTCTCTCTCTCTCTCTCTCTCTCTCTCTCTCTCTCTCTCTCTCTCTCTCTCTCTCTCTCTCTCTCTCTCTCTCTCTCTCTCTCTCTCTCTCTCTCTCTCTCTCTCTCTCTCACACACATTTTCACCCTCTATCCCGTTCTGGAAAATTGCGTGTCATGATAATTGAGTGGGCTCTATTTACCATCATACATGATTATTTGTCATTCATAATGGTAAATTTCCCATGCCATGGCACTTAGGGTCAATGCACCATGATATATAGGGACTAGGTCTTTCATATTCCATGATACAAGGGACCACGCCTGTCACTAAGCTTGAATATATTAATTATATTTTAGGTGATAGGTCTTCATACATTAACTGACTTGCTAGAATGAGCATTGTGAAGCATATGATTTAGAAGATGGGAACTATAGTCAGCATGTATTATAGGAAATTGGGATATAGGTGGAGGATGTATTATAGAAAATGGGGCTACAGGAGGAGGATGCATTATACAAAATGGGGCTATAGGTGGAGGATGTATTGCAGAAAATGGGGTTATAGGTGGAGGATGAAATATAGAAAATCGGGACTATATGTAAAGCACATATTATAGAAGATGGGATTATATGAAGCTTATGTTATAGAGGGTAGGGTTATAAAAGCATGTATGATAGAAGATGGGGGGTTATACTAAGTATATATTATGGAAGATGGGTATTATACAAAGCATATGTGAGAGAAGATGGATTTATATGAAGCATATATGATAGAAAATTAGAGTTGTATGAAGCAAGTATGACAGAAGATGGAAGTTATATAAAGCAAGTATGACAGAAGATGGGGGGGGTGGGGTATATGAAACACGTATGGTAGCAAATGTTATATTCATTTCGGTTAATAGTCATCATATGACATGGACGATGGGGCTACATGCTGCATGGTTGTAGTATCTATGTTATGAATTATGGCAGATGGGGCTGTGTTATATAGGGATATGTAGGACTATGTGTGGCACTGTAGTAGTGGTTATATGAATCGCGAGATACGTAATTATATATGTATAGGTTAGTGTATTAAAGTGGGAAGTGTGAAGCCACAATGTTCAAACATGATCAATGTTTATCAAACATGTAGAGTTTGTTTGTATGTGTGTGTGTGTGTTTGCCTACTGGCGTTGACGATGGAATGAGGTCTTGCTTGTTATGTACCGCCTACTAGCTTTGTGGTACCTGTTGCCTTATATTTCAACTTTTATTGACGTTCGAAATCTTTGTTAAATCCGGCCATAAGGATGTGGACAGAGGTGGCTTCTACAACTTCGTCCTTCAGTGCATTGCACTTGGTGGCCATCCGAACTGTGCACGAGTATTTCCGTACAATTCTTCGACTGTCTTGTGTTTCTAGCTTCCACTTGTGTCCTTTGTTTTACTTTCTCTAAATATGAAGAGGCTTTCTTTGTCCATCTTGTCTATTCCCATCAGTATCCTGTATGCTGTGATCATATCACCTTTGTTTCTTATACCCTTTACTGCTGTCAGATTTAGTTCCATTAGCCTATCCTCATAGATTATCCCTCTGAGCTCTGGCACCAGTGAGTTCCCAGATATCTCAACTTGTTTTTCCATCTTGCACAGCAGT